GTCAAAGGAGGTGTTGGAGTTGTTGGGGTTGTTGCTGCTGTTGCTGTTGTTGTTGGCGTTGGCGTTGAAGGGCCCGGTGAGGGTGTTCAGCGCCTCGGCGTACTTCTCCAGGTCGTAGCAGCACCGGGCGAGGAGGAAGAGACACTGCGCCGACTTGCAGGGCACCGAGTGCTTCTCCGTCAGCAGCGAGTAGGCGACGTTGGCCTTGCCCGAGCGGTAGTAGGAGTCCGCCAGCATGAACAGGCTCTCATCGTTGCCCACTGAAGGAAGAAGAAGGAGGGAAAAATGGAGTTAGCGGAATTTCGAATCGAAGGCAGAACGTTTGTCCACCACCCAGAAGCACTTACCCTCCGCATGGAGCCGCTCCGAGAGGAAGATGGCATCGGGAAAGGCAAAGTTTTCCAACGCAAAGGAGATCGTCATGTGAAGCGTCGACATGAGTGTTGGGAGTGGGGCCGCCACGCCGCGGGAGGAGGACTTCTCCAACTTCGACTTCAACTTCTTCAACTTCTTCGGCTACGAAAACGCCCGGGAATCGCTGGGAATCTATTTTTGTTGTTGTGGTCGTCGTGGTCGAGGCTGAAACTTATCAAAACACACACACACACAGAACAGACGGTTCTTCAGGAGGAGGAGGAAAAGGAGGAAATAAAAAACGAGGACGACGAAGAAAAACCAAACAGACAATCCAACGTATTACTCCGCAGAAGAAAGATTGAAGCCACCACTGTCAGCAGCAGTAGCAGCAGAAACAGTTTTCAGTTTGGCCAACCAAAATACAGCGCTCAGAGCTTGCCCGTGCGCAGAGGACGGACGCGCGGTGGTGGGCGCCAGCGACCGCTTTTGTTTTCAGTTTTTGAGTCTCTCGCTCTCTCTCTGTCAGATTGTGTTTTCTGTTTTTAACCTTTTGTTTGTTTCGATTTAGTTTATCGTTTCTACCTTTGGAGTTTTGTCTCTCTCATTTTAACCTTGCTCTTATTATTTCAAAACTTCGATCGTCATCATCAACGACAGTGCTCAGGTCACACTAGCCATCAGTGGCCGAACTGGAGAGCTTCGCCCTCACTTTACGTCATTCATCAGAAGAAGAGGAAGAAGCGCAGCGGGGAACAACAACTAACTCTCTGGTAGTAGTACTCGAAGCGAGGTTTTGTTGTGCCAACAACATCACGCTCGACGAATGTTGTGACAACAAAGACTTTGAACGGTGATCACCTCTTGGGAGGCGGCATCCAGGCTCTTCAAAGGTGACCCAGAGGTACAACAGCGAGAACTTCTGCTGTCAAATCAATTTTTCACGAGCACGCGTCGCAAAGAAGTGGAAGTACAAGAGGTGACATCAACCAGGCAACATCGTCATCAATTTCAGCTTGAGCTTCATCAACACTTGCTAGAAGAGCGGATGACAGGATGTCCATCGAAAAAGCATCTTCTCGCCTGCACCTTTCTCGGATGACTAACCACGGCTGGGGAAGCAGGCTCTGAAGAGAGTCTACCTGGAGAGTGGCCACCACAACCACAACTGCAACAACGATTTTCCCTCGCTTTGCCTACCTTCACCAGGTACAAACTCAGCTTAAGCGCTCCTCGTCTGCTTTTGCTGCTGTTGCTGCTGCCTTTCTGCTTCGCCGAAGCATCCTCAACACACACAGAGTGCAGGAAAAGAAGGCACACATGAGCAACGTCGTTGAATCATCGTCGTCGTCGCTTCGCCTTCGCCTTCGCCTTCTCCCTCTCCAGCACTTGACGTCGCTCGTTTGTGTTAGCATTAGCCCACTGCCCATCATCATCACAGACGCACTCACACACTCACTCTTACACACACACTGGCTGGCGTCATGCCCGATTCTTCACGTCAACTTCGGTTACAACTGCCATGTTCGCCGCATCTGTTTTCAACTACTACAACCGACTCCGCTAAACCGCTTGTGCCACTGAACCGAGGATGATACCAGTGTTTGGTGGAGCTGGTGACGATAACAGNACACACTGGCTGGCGTCATGCCCGATTCTTCACGTCAACTTCGGTTACAACTGCCATGTTCGCCGCATCTGTCTTCAACTACTACAACCGACACCGCTAAACCGCTTGTTCCACTGAACCGAGGATGATACCAGTGTTTGGTGGAGCTGGTGACGATAACAGCGATGGTGATTTCTGCAGCAGCAGCAGCCGAAGCAACAACAACAATCAAAGGCTGCTAAAGGAGGCGATACGCTCCTGCGACTCCTCCCCAGCCACTGCCCACTTGGAGAGAATCCTCGACGAATCATCGAGACAATCAGATCACGTTGATGATGATGATGAAACTCTCCTACAGATAAAGCCGAGGACAGAGGCCTCTCCTGAACTAGCACTAAGTCACTCCAGTCCGCTTACACTACCCACAGATAGTACTTTAACGCGCAATAGTAATCTCATTAGTAACGGTAACAACAACAACAACAAGAGCAACAACAACAGGGTTCATGTCGACGACAATTACAATTATCAACAGCAACACCACACGACAATCTGCACTGAACAAGAAGAACAGCATCAGCTCAACAATAATCATCATTATTACAATCAACAGCAGCAGCAACTGCTGTACAACACCGGTGATAGCAACTCCTATCAAGAAGAAGAAGAAGAGCAATACCACAATCACCCCGGCGACCTCTCCGAGTCGCTGTCCTCCCTCTACCTGCCGACGCTCTCTCGGCAGCTAGGCACGACCATCATGAGCGGCCTCAACTGGATCAACCAGATCGACTTTAACAACCTCCTCCAGAGTCTGGTCAACCCGTCGAGCATCTTTCGGCGGCGCAACTCGGCAACGCCCATCATTTCACCGCACCAGGGAAAGCCATCGCAGGGAGCTTCTCAAAATGGCGCCACCTTGGCCTCGCCCCTTTCCACCTCCGGAAATGGAAGTTCTGTTACCACCTCACCGCCTCAACTGCAGCCGTACAGCTCGAGCACGCTGCAGACGAAGCTGGTGGCGAAGA